GGAATGACTAAATGAAGGGTCTAAAGTCTTTATATATATGGTCTAAACTAGGGTAAAAGTACATTACATAATAACTAATTAATTTCGGAAAGTTCCATCATGCCCTCACTTAACCGCCCAATTGACCATCACTGCCTCACCAACGAGACCACACCCACGGGCCATGGGTGGACCCATGGGGCGTGCTGGTCTTCGTGAGTGGTGGTGTGCAAGTGAACTTTTGGGAAGCTGACCCACGAGGCCATCCAGAAGGCGTGGACCCCGTATGGGGGGTGGGTCCCTTCGTGGGTGTACGGCCTTGGGGAGCTTCTCTTGGGTAGTTTTCCTAGGGTTCTCCTCAAGGATCCTTGGTTGGTCCTTCGGGAGTCGTACCTTGACGTTCTACCCCAAAACCCTCAGTCTATGTACGGCAAGTTAAATCTAGGACTCTAACCTTAACGTCAAGCTCTAGTCTAGCCTACTAGTTTTTGGGGTGTTACAGTATGGATTGGGAACCGTTCTACGTGTGATCTGGAAGCTGAGTACTAATTTCACGTATCAGGACACTTCATCCATTACATAGTGCCAACGATCGTGAATAGTATTATAACCCAACTAGTGAGTTAGGGTCGAGTCCCAAGGGAGTGGTTCATAATTTAGAATCAATAGGTAAGTAAGAATATTCTCTAGTCAATCATAGATAAAAACATTTATGAAAAAACCGTGGTTTAAATTATAGGTGACACAAGTGTCAAATATCAAGAGGGTTTGTTTGTATTATTAATGAAAACAAAAAATAACACGAAAATATGAATATGGAGAAAGGATTCTTGGGATGTGATAGGATTATGAGTTAAGATAGACAACTGGGTAATTGCAATTAATAGCAAATAGCTGCAAATTGGTGAATAAGCTAGACATTAGTGGGGGGTAAACTTTCTCTTGAACAATTTACCCCAAATGAAATTGGTTTCTCTCAAACACCAATAAGCAGCAATATGGAACAACCTCTGCTTTAGTCCATTCACTCTCTCGAGTTGAATGTGTTGAAAAGGGTTTAGGGTTCACTCTCTCGAGCTGAAGCCATGACAACCCAATACCCATAGACCATCGATTCAGTAATTTTGATTTTAAAACCTCTCTCTCGAACAAGCCAAAAACACGGAGTTAAGATTGTATTTGCAACTACAACCTATTAAATTTAACAACAATTACTGAACGAAATCACTTTTAAACATCAAATAAACTATCAATTAACAATACCAATTAGTTATATCAACCCATAATCACAAAATCACACCCCAAGAATTGGGGTTTTAGCCAGACATAGTAAAAAGGTAAAAATCGTTACCAAGTTGTGTTTCCATCAACTAGCTAGGATTGATATAGTCTTTACAAAGGTCTAAGATGAAGAATCTTCAACACCCAGTTCCAATTTCTCAGAAATGGAAATCTTTAAATCTTCAAAGCTAAGGAAATATTGTCTCCAAAAACTCAGTTCTAAGCTCTCAACTTGAAAATTGGATGTTAGATTCTAAAACTGCATACTAAACTAAGAATTTAAAAATGTATTTATAGTTGTCAAAAATGTGCTACGAAGGACCATTCGGCTCAGTTTACCGGGATCGACGATCCAATCGGCGATTTTCCCTTTGGTCATTTTCATCACCATATTGCTTTTTTCCTTCAGCATCTTCAGGTTCTGTAACTTTGGGCGATATGATAATACCTCGTGGAACCGTTCGACGACTCGTCGACTGCTCCTTTCGATTGCCTACTAGATTTTATCTTCCATGGCTTGGCACAGTTGAACATTAGGCGAGACATCAGCCATTTGGTGATTCACCCAATTGATTAGGCGATCATCACACCTTCTTTTCTTCATCTTTTCAGCTGCATTGTTCCTTTTTGCTCATTAGTGTCCATGCTTTGTTCCTCAATCAAAAAACCTAAAATTAAAGGATTTACATCAGTTATTGGGACAAAATATGCATTTGAGGACATGATGTTTGACATAATCAAAGAAATGACTTCCAATTCAAGTGTCAACGATCGCGTGCAGTAATATAACCCAACCAAATGGGTCGGGGTCGATTCCTAAGGGACTGGTTGCAAGAATTAATAGATAAGTAAAATCAATTTCTAATCAATCATAGTTATAAACATTATCGAGTAAAAACATTATAAATCTAAAGGTGACACAAATGTCAAATATCAAATAGGGGGTTTGTATTCAACTAAGAAACAAAAATAGCAAAAATATAATGATGCGAGATAGAGAGATGGGATTCTTGGGATGTGATAAGAATATGGGATAAAATATACTATTGGGTAAATGTTATTGATAGTAAATCGCTGAATATTTGTAACTAGGCTAGACTGTAGTGGTGGTAAATTCTCTCTCGAGCAACTTACCTCGAATGAACTCGGTTTCTCTCGAACACCGAGGTTCAGTTTTTTAGCACTGCCTCCACCTAATCCCATTCACTCTCTCGATCTGAATATGTGGGATAAGGCCTGGGATTCACTCTCTCGAGTTGAACCCATGACGATCCAATAACCACCGCCTATTGATCTAGTAGTCTTAGTTTTAAAACCTCTCTCTCGAGCAAGTCAAAAACACTAAGATGAAATCGTATTTACAACTACAATTCCATTAAGTTCAAACACAACTACTAAATCAAATCACATTTAAACAACAAATAAACTAACAATAAGCAATATCCAAAAGGAAATTTAGCCCATATTCACAAAATCACACCCCAAGAATTGGGTTTTAGCTAGACATGAAAAATAGATTGAAATCAATACCAACAAGTGTTTCCATCAAGTGGGTACGATAGAAAATGTATTTAAACACGTCTAGGATGAAGATTCTTGGATACCCACTTCCAATTTCTTGGAGATGAAAACCTTCAAAACCTTCAAGCTTAAGAACACTGTCTCCCGAAAATTGTAAGAACTAAAAACTGAAAATATTCTAAGTCTCAGTAATTTCTTGATTGATACTAAGCTACAGTATTAAATGAGTATTTATAGTTTTCAAAAAATTGTGCTGCGAAGGATCACTCAGCGCAGTTAGTCAGGATCACCGATGCACTCGGTGATTCGACCTTTGGTCTGGTTCATCGCCTTTTAGCTTTTACATTCAGCATCTTCGCGTTTTGAATCAATGGGCGATATGGTGTTGCTTCGCGGAACTATTCACCAATGCGCCGACTACTCCCTTTCATCGCCAACTTGATCTTTTCCTTCAGGCCTGAGCACACTAGAACTTTGGGCGAGGTTAAGGCCATTTGCCAACTTGCCTAATGCATTAGGCCATCTTTAGCCCTAAATGAGTCTAAATTGTAGACTCATCAACAACCCGAACTTAAACTTTTGTTTGTCCTTAAGTAAAACTGAAGTTTAGCAGTTCAAAAAAGATGTCTCAAACAGTGCTACACAAGACTTAATCATGAATGCACACAAAAAGACTCAACTTACTCATGCAAAGATCAATTGTGCACTCAAAGACTTAAGTTGTGACTTACCATTATCAAAGAATCTCAAGCTCACATTACTTGCTTCAAATGCAAGTTCAAGCTCAACAAAGGTAATCAAATCCCCTTACACAAAGAATGATTCCATATTCACACACAATGGTTGATAATTTAAATCCCCGGAATCAAATGCAATGTTCACACTCACAAAGGTCTTTTCAAGGCTTGTAATGGGGCTTAGTGCAAAGGTATGGTCATTTAGGCTCAATGGCTGTAGTCCTCATAAAATGTGGTATGAACAACACTCCCTTTCCTTTTCTTCATCATTTTTCATTCGTGCTCACAAGACATCCCATTATTCACATTCCATGGATTGTTGGAACTCCATTTCTTTTCACATTTTTACAACTTTATTCCGCAACTTTTCTTTCTTTTTCTTTTTCATTATTTTTTTTATGGAGGGGTTCTATTTTTTCTCAAAACATGGGTAAAAGGGGACTTTCTTGCACTCCTTGATTTACTTTCTCTTTTCACCACACCCCCAACTTTGGGTTTTGGCCTAAGTTGGCTATTCAAACAAACCACAAATCATGAGGATTATGGGTAATGGATCATTAAAAGGTCACAATGTCATCAAGTTTCTTCCAAGAAAAGGTTGTGTATCAAAGGGTGCTCAAGCAGGGTTCACACACTCACCAGGTAGGCCACAAAAAAAGGTAAATGTCAAATTGGTTCACACTCTTAAAGTTGCCTAAAATCATCTCAAGAGTTCACATCAGTTAGTCAACCGTACCTACAAGGCAAATTCTAGGTGTTATCACACATGGTTCACGGTAAGCTCATCACACAAGGCATTGCCACCATAGTCAAACAAGACTCCACACTTCGCTAGTGTGCAATGTTCATCACAAGAGACTCAATTCGATACTTGGCTAGTAATAACGAGATGCAAAGATTTCACATATTGCCTATGCAACTTCATTCAGCATCATCGTAGCCGCACATTCATTTTTGTTCGATTATGAGCACTATTTAAGTCACCGGTATTGATCAAAACTAATACTCAAATTTGCAAATGAATAGCCACATTCATCATAAACAAGAGGTGGCAAATCTTTTCGGAAGGGTCAAAAATCATTTACAATTAAAAACACAGAGCCACAAGCTCAAACATTCCTCAAAAAGTAGTGTACAACACAATTTCAGCTCAAAAACCAATAATACATAAACAAAACCAATATTCCCAAAAGGTCACACAAGATGTGGGCCTCACCACCCCACAAATAAAGTCATTTGTCTTAAAATGCAAACAAAATAAATATTCAAAAGTAAAAATAAAATAAGATAGAGAGTGAAGTAAGGAAAGGATCCTATCTATACAATCGGTCCATACGTCTGGGCATCAGTGTCTGGTGCATCAATATGGACTTGGGCATAAGTGCCCGGAGTCACCTCAGAAGAAACAATAGTACCATACCCACTAGGAGTTTCCATAGACATCTCAGTTTATGATGTCTGGATCACTGACTCCATAATTGTCTACTCAAGATCTGTCAAGTCTCCATATATGCTCCCCTTCCGTATCTCTATCTGCTCCTCGTCGGTCTCAGCATCTGACTCATCAAATGCTGCCTCATCCATGTTTACATCTCTGGTGGTAGCCGGAGGAATCTCTGAAGTGTCAGGAATGTCCAAATCATTTGTAGCCTTCAGTAATGAAGTGAAGTCGGTAGACTTCAGATAGTGTACATCCTTCCTTATGTCTGCTACCTCAGCTTTCAACGTTGTATCCTCAAAGGTCTCCCCCAGCCTTCTCTCAAAAGCCCCAACTCTCATGGTGAGAGTGTCAACGGATCTCTGAAGGGGGATCAGTGCAGCTAAAATGGCAGCCTCAATCATAAAAGGAACATCTCTTTCAATTTTGGTATCCCTCACGTCAGCTGAATGGGCCAGATGCCCCATCTTTAGGATCATTGCCTGAGTAATCTTGGTTTACTGGGAGGAAGTAGATATCTCTAGAGCATGTTAAGAAGAGGTAGGGGTAAAACCACGTAAAGGCCTAGAGTACGGAGTAGGCACAGAGGCCTCTGCATGTATGGAATCAACATTAACCTCCGAAGAAGTATCTGTCGGTGCTACTCTCCTCTTATCAGCCTCCTCACAAGTGTACTCGACCTCAATACACCGGATGTCAATGGAGGAGGAAGGTGTCACCTCAATGTCTCTCATGGCACCCTAGGACACTTTGGCACGTCAGCATAACTCACTGATCAGGACCAGGAATGGCAAGGATGTTTGCCTCTGATTGGTCCTCATGGCCATCTCCTTCTCAATTATAAGGCCTAGGTCAATGCACCTCTTGGATAAGACAAACCCCAGGCATTCCGCCTCAGGATGATAGAGACACACTCATTTTGGGATGGAATAATGGTGCTTCTGATAAAGCCAAACCAGAACTGGGTAGCAACACTCAAGTCCCTCTTCTCAATAGGGGCTCCGCCTCAATCCACCTTGGGGTGGTATCAGAAATCAAAGGTTCTAGCTAGCCCTTCAAATTATCTAATGAGTTAGCAACATGCAATGCATCATAATGGTGTGTAGAGTGTAGATTTCTACCTAGGATGGTGTTTATATACTCACTGTTGCACCCAACTTCCTTTCCCCGTACCATGACAGACTTCACCTATCTTAATTCGCTCACCTTCTTCTTTCTCTTTGGGACCAAGTCACCGTAGGCTACATAGATCTCCAGACCCATGAAGGAATGTGAGGGCCTCAGGGCCTGGTAAAATAATCAAACCTATGGTAGTGGAGGGTGTCCCTCACATCAGAGTATTTTCCCTTCAGGGCCTCTATGGTTAACATCTTCTCCTCGAGGATGGTTCACAAACCGTCTCCTTTCAATCTGTTGAGAAGCTTAGGAAGAGGGATGACTGGTGGCATAGGAGCCACGGGAGGTGGCAGAGCTGGCACGGAGTCTGCTGATGTGGGAACTGGAGCGACTCTTGCTGAGTCAGGGCGAGATCTGGCTCGGAACTCACACCGCCGGGACTTTAAAGGCTAGTCATCCTTAGGCTCAGATAAAGCTGTGTGGGAACAAGTAGTCACCCTATCGGATATGGGCCTCTTGCCCTTGCCTTTGTCACTTGGAGGAGGCTCTTGTATGCCCTTCTTTGGAGGATTTGATCCCCATTCTTTTATAGTAATACCCCGTACACTTTTTCGGGGTGGCATGTCTATGTTTGTACTCACCATATATGTAAAACATCAAGAAAAAGTTAAAAATAACTCAATCAAATTCACAGAAATACAAAAAGACTTTCCAATGCACTCAGCGAAGCGCCGAATAACTTTGGCGAGCTAGATCGGGCTCTCCGAAAGGATTGGCTCTATAATGTTGGCATGTCGGTGATAGAAAGGGCCTTTTGGCGAATCGCCGACATCTTTCGATTAGCAAGGGTTAGCCTGCCGAAAGTTACAGTGCAGAAAGGGCTTAGGGGTACAGACAAAGAGTGATCAAGAAGGCTTTCGGTGAGTCGTCGAGTGCCTTCGGCGACCTCAGGCTTCTCGCCGAAAGTTACAAAACCCAACAAAAAATTAATCATGAAATTAGAGGCAAAATGGGGAACTTCGGTGAACCGTTGAGTGGTTAGGCGAGCTCGACCCAGCTCGCCAAACGACCCAACGTGCCTGCTTTCAACCCATCTTCTTGAATTCAACCATGCAACTCGCAAAAAAAAAATCAAAGCATGTACTAATCAAATTAAAGCAAGACCCATAACACTCATTACCCTGGATACTCAGGCTTCTCCCGATTTTGCTAAATTTGGCCTATTGACGACTTTTGCCCTTAAGAATGATGTCTCACGTTCTATCATTGGAAAAATTAAGTCGTTTGGCACAAATACGAATTACTCAGACTTCACCCATTTAAACTAAACAACATGCAAACACTAACCCACAAAATATTATTCATTTTAAAGCACAAGAATATGCGATTTCAACATTCAAATCATTACAGGAAAGATTATCAAATCAAATCAGGCATTTAAGCATTCTAATCCTATAAAAGAGGCCTAGCACACGACAATAAGATAAGATCATTCGCATAAGAGTACCAAATTGTTTATAATAAACTCGAGGTTTGGAAAACCAACCTTTAATGCCAATTAAGATAAGATTGAAATGCAAGGAGGCAATGTAATCCAAATCCAAGCACAAATCAATGACTAAAAATACTACTAGAAATGCAAAAATATAGAAACTAATGTGTAGGTGTGAGTTTGTGAAGATTTAAAGTTAGGGGAAGGGAAGAGTTTCAAAGTTTAAACCTTTGCCTTATAAAAAGAGTCGAGTTCTCGCCCATCTGACATTTGTCGTGCTCGCCAAACCACTAGGCGACACGCCGAGTGGTCTCTTACCTCACCAAGTTTTACAGGGCCCTCAGTTGATGTGGGGGTTCAAACAATGAATTATATCAGGATAGCTGACCTGGTCGGCGATTCGACAATAATTTCCTAGGCTCGCCGAGTTTTACATACTCTAATGTAAAATTGTCTTGAGTCCAACGACGGTCTAGGTCGGGGTCGCCGACTTCTTCGGTGATGCGCCGACTGGACGTTAAGCTAATCGATCTGTACTTTTCAGTCACTTTCCACACTTTAACCTACACAATCAACACACTATTATTTACCAAAAAAAAATTCAAGTAAGAAAGGATCTTGGGTTGCCTCCAAAGTAGCGCCTTAGTTAACGTCGTGGTATGACGCAAGTCCACCTTCAAACCTCATTCTTGGGGTTGACTATAGGGTCACTAGGTAACCCCTCTTGATGTTTCGGGTAGTGATGAAGCAATACATGACCAATGAGGGTTTCAATTAGCTAGATAGATCTAGAGTGAGAGCCAATCATCTGATTTAGCACTTCGACTTTCCCCTTTATCTATTCCAACACTGTATCATGCTCATTGACCTTTTGGAAAATGATTAAAAGTGTATCCTCGACACATTTACTCTCATCATCCTTAGGACTTATTCGCTCATGTGGAGGGATGTATGGATCCTTGTTTTTCCAGTAGTCTTCAAGTTCCATAATTTGTTTGGTTAACTCGTCTAGTTGAGTAAGCAATGCGGCTAATCTGAAGTCCCTATCTACTTCTTTGTTTGTCTCAATCATGTGATCAGGCAGTTGGGATACTATCACATAGGGTTGTTGAACCATACCACTTGGGATGCGTTGATCAACCAACACTTTGTTCCCGAGACCAAGACTTCTATAAAAACATTCCAGTAGGACTACATTAGGAATCCCATGAGTTGGGAATTGAATCAGCAGAGATTTAAACCTCAGCCATGACTCATGAATTTTTTCACCTTCCAATTGCTTGAAGGTTAGGATGCAATCCCTGAACATCATCACTTACAATGGAGGAATATCCATTTGTTCACAATTTCTTCATGACATGCTCACATCCTCTATTTCAAAGCATAAACAAGCAAAACAAAACTAAAAATTAAGTAAGTTCAACTATCCCTAACAATAATAAAATCCAACTTAACTAAAAATTCTCAAATAACACCACTCCTCGGAAGTTATACCATATTGATTTCACATATCTGCACACTTCATCCAATACTAAGTGCCAACGATCGTGAGTAGTAATATAACACAACTAGTGAGTTGGCATCGAGTCCCAAGGGAGTGGTTCGTAATTGAGAATCAATTGACAAGTAAGAATATGCTCTAACTCAATCATAGCTAAATACATTTATGAACAGAACCATGGTTTAAATTATAGGTGACACAAGTGTCAAATATCAAGAGGGTTTGTTTGTATTATAAACAAAAACAACAAATAACACGAAAATACGAATATGGAGACGGGATTCTTGGGATGTGATAGGATTATGAATTAAGATAGAGAATCGGGTAATTGTAATTAATAGCAAACAACTACAAATTGGTGAATAAGCTAGACTTAAGTGAGGGTAAACTTTCTCTTGAACAATTTACCCCGAATCAAATTGGTTTCTCTCAAACATCAATAAGAAACAATTAAGCACATCCTTCGCTTTAGTCCATTCACTCTCTCGAGCTGAATGAGTGGAAAAGGGTTTAGGGTTCACTCTCTCGAGCTGAAACCATGACAACCCAATACCCACAGACCATCGATTTAGTAATTTTGGTTTTAAAACCTCTCTCTCAAGCAAGCCAAAAACACGAAGTTAAGATTGTATTTGCAACTACAACCCATTAAATTCTACCACAATTACTTCATGAAATCACTTTTAAACAGCAAATAAACTATGAATTAACAATACCAAGTAGTTATATCAACCCATAATCACATAATCACACCCCAAGGATTGGGGTTTTAGCTAGACATAGTAAAAAGTTAAAAATTGTTACCACGTTGTGTTTGCATCAACTGGGTAAGATTGATATAGTCCTTACAAAGGTCTAAGATGTAGAATCTTGAACACCCACTTCAAACTTCTCAGAAATGGAAATCTTCAAATCTTCAAAGCTAAGGAAATATTGTCTCCAAAAAATCAGTTCTAAGCTCTCAACTTTAAAACTAAATGTTAGATTCTAAAACTGCATACTAAACTATGACTTTAAAAATGTATTTATAGTTGTTAAAAATGTGTTGCGAAGGACCATTCGCCGCAGTTAGTCGGGATCGCTGATCCCAATCGGCAATCCGCCCTTTGGTCATTTTCATTGTTATTTTTCTTCTTGCCTTCAACATCTTTAGGTTCCGTAACTTTAAGCGATATGGTATTGCATCGTGTAACTGTTCGGTGACTCACCGACTACTCCTTTCGATCACCTACTGTATTTTCTCCTTCATGGCTTGGCACACTAGAATATTGGGCAAGACATCAGCCATTCAGTGATTTCCCCAATGGATTAGGCGATCCTTAGGCCTTTTTTTCTTTGTCTTTTGAACTGCCTTGTTC